ATCAAAATAACATGAGTAATATCATAAATCGTGTGTTTTATTTATTTATTTATTTTTTTTTTTTATCGGAACTGAAATAATTTTATTTTACTACACACATTTTATTTTGTTACTTTATTTTAAACTTTATATATTTATAAATACGAATAATATCGTTCTATTTTTATCGTTTTTATTTACTTTATTTATATGTACCATCAAAAATAAATTCCTATTTTCAGAAATATACTTGGACGTATCATAATTTGCTTTCCTTTTTGGTTTCCAAAGTTCGTATCATAATACGTATATTTCCACTCAGACAGAATTTTCATCTAAATAACGTATATATGATAAAAAAAAGTCATGCCTATTGATGTCAAGTAGAAAGTGACTGAATTTATGAAAAAAAGACAACACTTTTGAACGTACAGTATAAGTAATTAATTCATCACCCAAGCAAGAATTGTATAATTATAGGATACACAAAAAATTAAATACTGTAGAAATTTTTTTATTTTTTTAATTCAATACAACCTTTGTTGTCTGAAATCATTTTAATGAGTTATAGAAAAAATAATTTCTTACTATAATCAATAAAAAACAATTATTTCACTGTGATTGTACCTTTTTTTGTATTACAAAGCATATTCAATGCAATCCAGAGTAGTTGAGCCACAAATAAGCTGCATAATAAAAATTAGTTTATCTTTCTTCTTGTGTTTTGGTATCTGGCTGAAAATCTGAACTGCTTCAATATTTTTATAAAAATTGGTTTTAATATTTTCCCCACATTTAACTACTGAAACATTAATTAATTTCTTTTTATGCGAAATTCGTAATACATGAGCATATGACTGAAACACATATTCAAGTCCTTACGAATATTTTTGTTCATACTAATTTCAAAATTATCACATGAAAAATCAGACAATAAGCACCCGAAAAAATGTGTAGGTTTTGTAGCCTATGGGAATGGACCAATAACTACTGCTTACACGTCTGGAGCACCAGTGGCCACAAATTCTGTTTATCAACAACAGCTCTATCCGCAACCTCAGCAGCAGCAGCAAATTGACTATTTGCAGCAACAGCAGTACCAGCAAGCTTTGGCCTTGGCTTATCAGCAGCAGTTACAGCAACAGCAGTACTATCAACAGCAGCAGCAACAACCCCAGCAACAGTTTTACTCTGGTAATAATAATCATTGATTTTGTATATTATATCGGAAAATTCGTACAGTAAGTATCTTTCAGTGATCCAAAGTGTTTTTAAAGTTTTTTAAATTTAAGAGCCGGCAATTTCCATCATAGAAAATAAGTGATTTAGTATGCAGGAAAATTTTTTTTTGTTTATTCGTAGCGTCATGTAATTGACTACTCGAATAAGGGTACGGAAAATACTTTATGAGAAACTATACGTAAAATAATCTTAAAAAGGTGTAGTAAGGTGATATTTTTGTTCTTTTGTTTTAATTTCATAATTGACATCTAATTATCGAAAAATGCATCCTGCCTGTAATAAGAATGTACGTTGAGCAGGATTCTGATAAAAAATCTCTAACCTTCATAATATAAGAAAAAAAGTAAATAAATTAAGTAGGAAAAAAAAGTATCCTAAGAACGTAAATTAAATAATTTTCCACGTCACGTGTTCCCTTAGGATTAGAACAACCTGTCGATGGAGCGACCCAACAACAGCAGGCTCACTTCGCTCAACTGTTCGCATCCAGGTTAACACCTCAGCAGCAAACTGCAACAGCCGACGTACCAGAACAGGTTCAACAGCAACAGCTGCAGCAACAAGAGCAGCAGAGCGCAAATTTACTCGGAGTCGCGTATTCAGCTGCACCGTCGGTGGCCCACGTCAAAGTAAACGGTAATGGTTACAAGTTTGATTTCTGATGACAAACGGTGTCTAATCTTATATACAAATTGTCGACGATTGTAATTCACGTATATGCATTGAAGTGAGTTAATATTTTATTGCGTTTATTCTAATGGAACTACGAGCAGAGCTCGGTGAGGCTTTACTCGCATGCGAAATAGTCATTAACAATTTTATTAAAAAGTGTACAAAGTTTCCTTTCTGTTGTATCTGTTTTTGTGTATTTATAATTATCTTGAGTCATTTATGATTTAGCTATTAATTTTTATAGATTATTTTTGAATGCACAAATTGTTTTGTATTCATGACATAGTTAGTTTTTAAGTAACTATTACGTTCAATACGCTTAATAAATTTCGAACAAGTGGGATGAAAATTTAAAGTATATTTTTGATAAATTATTCATAATAAAATAAAGTGAAAAGTTTATTGTGAGATTTACTTACCTATGATTGTATAAACAATTTCCTGTATCAAAAAAAAGTATAAATTATTTGTACAAGATTTTAACTATCTCATTACACTACCAAACATTACTTTTAATACAATTTTTAAATATTCTATCTATGAGATTTTTAATGAAAAATAATTTTTT